GCCGGCGTGTGCGTGCCTGGGCATAGCCCCGCCCGGCCCCCTCCGCAGGCGATGGGATCCCCGGTGCAGGCCTCCGAGTCTTTGCAAGCGCCTACGCTCCCCGCTTGCTGGAATGGCCTTGCCCGCCAGTGCCGTGTGGCTGGAAGGGGAGGTGAGCCCCGGCCCTGAAGCGGCTGGGGCGGCGCTGCTCCTTGCGCTTCAGCTGTTTGCCCACCTCCTCATGTGCCGCCGTGGCCTGGGAGTGAGGAGAGTTGCTCTCTCTCTTCCTTCCTTGGGCTCCAAGAGCACCTAAGAAAGCCTGAGAACTGGGAAGGAGGTATCCTCGCTTGTCAGCCCTAGGCACCTCCTGAGCAGATGAGATTCGTTTCAGGCAGGTGACATTACAGGCAGAGTCACTAGGCTTGGTTGATCAAAGGTAGAAGGCTCAGATGTGGGCAGAGCATGCAGTCAGGCGTTGGTCTTTGAGGGCAAGTGCTCTGCTGCCAGGATAACCACCACGGTGTTATTCATGGCATGCACAGGTGTGCAGATGGTGAGGTTGTGAGTAACCCTGAACAGAAAGGTTAGAGATGCGGGTGAGGTTTGGCTGTCTGATTTACACCTATGGAATCTTTTAAAATTATATACTCCAAAACAGGAAGATTTTGATCTCCCATCAATATTTGGCATGGCAGAATGACAAGAGTTGAAGATCATCCCTCCCTCCTATTTTTCCATTACGAACTGGCTAGAAAGAAGAGAGCTAGAACGAAAAATGACAGAAAAGGGGTTGATATGAAAAGGCTTTCAGATACCTAGAGGGTTTTTAACTATAATGAAAGCATGGTGCTGTTTCTAGGCAGCCTTGCAGAGCTGTCAGACAAGCAAGGATGAGTCTGGCCAAGCTTCAGTAGCAGAAGAGTAGACCTGAGCATTATCTGTGGTGGTTGTTAAGTGTGCTTTTGTTATCTATACATTAAGACTGCTGCCTGCAGAGAATATCAAGGGAGAAGGGAAGGGACTTAAAATTTCATACCCTGTAAAAGAGAGGAAGACTAGAAATGTGCTGAAAAGTGTGCCAAAATCATAGGGTAGGAGATCCCCAAATTTTTCTCCCTAATCTTTTCTAGTGACCAAGTTCCAGGCACTAAGGGAGATTTCATGGAGTTGATGATAACATCAAGTACTGCAGAACTCAAGAAGGATGAGACCCTCTGTGTTGTGTCTAAATGTGATCGTTGCTGCTGTCTACATCACCTGTAACAGCATAGCTACAGATTTCATTGTCACGTCAGAGGTCCCTGTAGAGTTACTGTTTCATACGAATAGCTGTTAATTTTGTGGTTTGTGGGGTTTTTTACTGCTGATGTAAATTGAGTGCATGTATGACAGTAAAAATCCTTTGTTTAGCTGTTTTAACATAAATAATATTCTCTCATCTTCAGCCATCAAAAATACAGAGCTATTCTGAAGAAAGAAAAGCGAAAAAAAAAGCGGCAGGCGCTTGCCAAACTAAGAGACTCAGGTAACTGTGAGGTGTTTTGTATTGTCAGTAGAACTAGTAATGATTTTTTTTTTTTCTTTTCGTTTTTTTAAAAGGATATAATTCTGTGTATCTTTGCTGACTGTAACATCCAGTTATTTAGATGCATTGTTTTGTTTTTTTTCTCAGAAGCTACTGAAAAAGATGAATCGGTGTCTGAGGAGGAAGAGGAGGAAGTGGAAGAAGAGGAGGAAGAGGAAGAAGAAGAAAAAAAACTTGAGGCAGAAAGGTGAAAAATCTAGAAAACGGCATATAAGTAGTAGATACGTTTGTAGTCAATTCCATTTTGATACTTTGAAAAGTTTCAATGTATTCTGTAAAATAGAATCCTTTTTGTCTATTTCAGGCTACACAGTTTTTCTCTAAAACCTGAATGATTCCTATGGAATTTTCTCTTTTAAAGAAGATTAGATAAGCTGTAGTTATTGCTGAAATAATAAATTTGAATTGTATGCATGACAATTCCATCAGTTGTGGGTAGTCATTAAATTTTGTCTAAGTGGTATGTGGTTTCCTTGGTAGACAAAAACTACATGAGCAGTGGTTGCTGAGAGAAGAAAAGGCCCAGGAAGAGTTCAAGCTTAAGAAAGAAAAAGAAGAGGCTGCAAGAAAACGTCAAGAAGAAGAAGAGGTGATGTATAAACTGAGTGTTACAATTGTGTCTGGCAATAAGGTAGACTTAGTGTAGTATCTTTTACTGTTCTCTAGTGGACCCAGTTTTCTTGATGTTTGTATGTTTGAAAGTGTAAGCTCTTCTTTCTTCCATTCTAGAAGAGCAAAACTGAAAAAAAGAAAAGACTCTTTAAAAGGGTTTTTGTCGAGAGATTTAGTTGCTTATGACTGGATGAAAACTTAATGGTCAAGGAGTTGTAATACAACATGATAGTTTTGAATTTGACTGATTATAAAGCATTTGTTTCCTTAAGTAACTTTTTAAAATATTTTTTTATCATAAAGAGGAAGATCAAAGAAGAATGGGAAGAGCAGCAAAGAAAAGAGAGAGAAGTGGCACAGCAGAAGCAACAGGAGAAGAGAGAGAGAGAGGTGATTCCTGGCAGTGGGAGGATAAACATGTTACATATCCTCTTACATTATCAGATGCAACAGTCTGTGCATGTTGAAGAGGGATTTTATTCTAATTAGGAAACGTATAAATGTGTTAGTTACTTCTTCTCTCCATTCTGTCTAAATTCCTGAAACTATTATTCACTGTTACAGAGGCTCTAGTGAATCTATATACCTGGAAGGGTAACTAGTTTTAATGCATCTGGCTGTTCATAGTATGTAATTTTTTACATCAGTTAAATACAAAGGCACGCTGTGAATGCAGTTTCTGATATGTGCGCCATTTTGCATCACATGTTAAAGATAATCCTTACTTAATGTCTCAGTTGAAGACAGTCAATGTTGAAGAAAATGCCCAATGAGGATATGGAATATGGAATTACATTGCTGCTGTTCCTTAACACAATTCTTAATCAAAAGATATATTACAGCTCTTCTTTACCTGACTCATCCAACAGGACGTATCTTTTTTTCAGAGCTCTTGGGTAGAGAGAAAAATGATGCTGAAGATACTAGTCATTGATAACATTTCTGTTAATGATACATTCTTCTTAAGTTTTAGAAGTTGAATGACCTGGATGTAAGATGTCCTGTACAGAAATCCAACGTGAGGACTGGCCTATCGCCAGTAAAGGGTGATTGCAGCTTTCTAGGATGCGGTCATTTTAGCTTCTCCACAATTGCAAAAGATTCCAGTCATTTCACTGGGAGGTGTCTTGCTGCTGTGTCTGGTAGCCAGTGCAGGTGAAGAGACAGGAGCAAACAGTATTGTCTCCTGCACGTAATAGTTGGTTGTGTCACTGATTGCGTAACGCTTGCATGAGGAATGAAAAAGAACAGCAGTTGTTGTATTTCCTGTCTTACTTCCTCTTGTGTTAAGTGTTCATTTCTCTCTTTGCAGAGTAGGGAGAGAAAATGATGGTCGTGTCCTTTATTTAAGGTTGAGATATAGTTCCAAGAGAGTTGAACCATGGTAACAGCGGGATTTTGTTCCTTCCCTCTCCTTGTGTCTGGATTTGTCCAAGCCCTCAGTGGGCTAATTTGGTTCCCTGAACTAGATGGAAGCTGCTTTCTTTTTTGTAGGTTGTTGGTTAGTTTCTGTTGGTTTTTTTCTGGGTTACTATTTTACTGATTTAGTGAGCTATATTGGCTTATAGAGGGCACAGACAGGCACCCAGAGGGAAAGTGAGGACCCAGGTGGGGGTGGACCCACCCATTTCAGTAACAGAAAGTTGTTCAATTGATCTGTCCTGTCTCTTGAAACAGTTTATTCGAATTCTGACTTACTGATTAAAAAAATTTTTTTCCTCCCTAAGATGAGAAAATAGATTTTCTGGTTTGGTTTTGGTTACTTATTTATTTATTTATTTATCTAATAGCGTGGATAATATCTGACATACTTCATGATTAGTACCAGATGCTGTCTGGGTCTTCATCCTGGATTGCATTTTTTTATTTTTATTTGGTCTTCTTCTTTTTTAATTTAATTAATTCTCTTCCAATTCAGAACAATGCTAGCATATTTTCTTGTAATGGTTATGTTTAAATGTCTTTTTTTCTTGGAACTTCCTAGAATAATTTGTTAGAACTGATTTCCAGCCAGTTTTGGAGAATGACTTTATTGTTTTGCTCAGCCCACTTAGAAGAAGGAAGGGAAAGAATATCCTCATTGTTTTCCTTTATTTGGAAGGCTAGATACAGTGAACTTATGATATTAAAGTTTCTTAACAGTTAATATGTTTTGCTTTAACAGAGGCTCACTAAGCAATGTGTTTTTCTGTGTTACATAAAATGTTCTAAGTTAAAAAGGTTAGTGCAACTAAATGATTATGAGTGTAACTGTAACCAGACTGACTACTAGAGCACGAGATATATTTAAGTATTCAATAGTTCAATGATAGTTTTAAAAAAGAAGAAAATGAAACTGTTAAAGTTGTCTAGCATTTAGATTAGAAAATCATCTACATGAGGGTCTTTCTTATCTGATGTATCCTTTAACAGCTTTGTAGTACATTAATTGCTACAGAGCAAAAGTAAAACTTCGGTTCTTAAAGCAAACCCCATCAAACTTTTATTACGCATAATCATTGAGTATTGTAAATTAGGTTCTTAACTGAAGAAACCAGATGTTTTGCGTGTCCTCAGGGTTTTCACTAGTCCTGTGTTTGCACCATTTATAGGCAGCTGTGCAGAGGATGCTGGATCAAGCTGAAAGCCAGGTATGCTCAGAGACTTTTTGAAAAAGAACTGAAAAGTAATTTAATTGCCATTCGGTGTTTGCCTTCTAGCATGTTGTCCATCTGCTCTCAAGAACTTAATGGCCTGAATAAATTTAATACGTAGTGGCTTGCATGAGCTGTAAACAATTATTTACGGGGTGGAACATAATTAGGCGTATTTCTGGCTGGTTGGTGGCAGTGCAGTTGTGCGTGCTCATTCCTGTTCATGAGATCTGAGTCAAAATCAATCTGGAAATACTGCTGTGTGCTGTTAAAAAACACTATGCATGATGGTTTATTTGTGAATTAGAATTCTAAATAAATCTGTCAGTCCTTCTGGGTGGCAAGACAAACTCGTCTTTTTAAGCAGATGGCAGGCTCTAAATAAAAGGATTCAGCAGTAAAGGAGGGCACTGCTCCGGTGCCTGGAAGAACATGGATCTCAAGCTGGCAGTGTGTAGTAAAGAAAACTGCAGTCTTCATTTGAATCTTAGAGAGGATGAATTCAATCTTTTCTGTTGCCCTAAAGAATAATTTGGCTTTTTATGCCTGTCATACGGTTAAACTTGTGAAGATTCTTGCTCTGCTTAAACCACTGCATGAATCTGAAAACTAAGTTTTAACCTAATTAACCCATTGTATGTTGATTGCCATAGCTACACTGGAGTTGCATTTAGTTCTAAATTACGTTTAAACAGTTTTTTAGGTAGGGAGTTGAACTTATTTCATAATATGGGTAGAAAAATGCTCTGAACTATTACCTGCCCAGAGCTCAAGTTGTATTAGCAGCCATTTCTGCAAGGGAATAGGCAGAAATGTGGTATGTTAGAGACTTCATTACAGTATCAGTTCAGGGTTCAGTTACTTACTGTTGATACTGTTGAAGTGACAGTGCTGTTTTGTTGAAAGAAAATTATGACTGAGAGTCACAAACAGAATGGGTAGCAGGGTCAAATGCTGCTTGTAAATAAACAGTTTTCAGCTGATTTAATGCAAGAACTTAGGCTAGTCAGCTTTACAGATCTTTTGGCTAACAAAGTGAAAATTCCCTTTTTAAAATGTGTGTTTTGTTTGTAGTCAGTCAATGCTTGCAACTTCGTAATTCCATTTTGAATTATAGACATCTTAATGGCCCAAGATGAGCAATATGGAGGCTTTTAATTCCAGTGCTAACTATGAATTTTTTTTTTTTTAATTCTGGCCTGTGGCAGGTTACTTTTATTTTAGCCTTTTCTAGCTGCATAAAAAGTGATAGTGATAACCTTACTTGAGCTTTGAGCTGTTGCAAAGACAAATAAGTAAATAGTCCTAGCTTTCTATCTGCCCGGTGTATAAAGTGCTGCTCAGTGGGTCCTGGAGTGAAGTAAGTAACGGGCTTAGCTGAATGGAAAGAATCTGTCCCAATATTTGTAATCCTCGTAGATGATAAATGAAATCGTCGTTTGAGGAGCAAATATTACTGCAACTCTTTTGGTTATAAAATCTTCAGCAGCTTTTCCTTTAGCAAAAGAAAACATCCAGTTCGGTGATTTTTTTTTTTTGTGAAAAAGAAATCATGAATATAGACTTGTTCTTAAAACTGAACAATTATCAAGAAAAGAGGTTTCCATCACCAGAGACCTAACACACTGGGCAGCTTTATAAAACAATGCTTAAAATAGGTTCAGCTTGCCTTGTAGTAACATAGTGCTCATAATTGCATGTGGATTTAATCGGTAGTTTTATTTTGACATTGCATTTCTTTCTTCTTTTCTAACTTCTGTGTATTTTAATGTTTTTTGCACAGCTGGAGAATGGTGTGACGTGGCATAACCCAGAGCCCCCAGAGAATATAGGAACAGAGAAGGATAGAGCGAATTGCCCATTCTATATTAAAACAGGTTCCTGCCGATTTGGAGACAGGTAATCAATTGAATATTTGCCAGTATAAAAGTGTTTTGGAGAGACGAAAGGGAAGCAACTTCATTAGGCCATATGCAAACTGAAGAAAAATTGCTATATAAATTACTTTCATGTATTTGGATGTGGTTCTGTTATTCATGATGGAACTAGACATTGAGAGCAAAAGAGTTGCCTGGCTGGAATTGAACTATTTATTGTTATGGCATATTACTGATGGTGCGTTCTGGTTACATTGGTCAAACTGACTTTTCCTTAGCTCTGACAGATGCACAGATACATTCAGACAGAATGTATTTGATTTCTGCTATTAGTAGAGGCCTGATGTGTCAGATACTGTCTTTTATCTTGTCTAATTTGCATTTGCTGCATCTTTTAAAAAATAAAATCAAATCTCAAATGGACTAAAGCAAGTTAAGGTACATCTGCACAGTTGAGAAAGCTGCTGTGTAGCTTCCAGAATTCTCCTGTTTGTATACTGTTTAAATGCGTGATACATTCATTCTTGATTTTTTTTTTTTTTTAATACTGTTATGGGTGCCCTATCTCAGAAAGCAAGTATAGTAAAAGGCAAAAAGAGAGAAGGACAAGGTGATCAGAGATGAGGAACAGCTTCTGTAGGAGTGGCTAACTAGTCTAGACTCTACTTTCAGAGAGACAATGGAAGAGGGCTGTCGTAGATGAACATTGAACTCGTGAGTAGGATGGGACGGATTATTTGCTTTTATTATGAAATAGTTTAATTAGGTCTCCCTGAGTGTTTACCAGCTTTTTAAAAAAAGAAAAAAGTACTTTCTCATGTGAAACAAATGGCAAAACTTGTTGCCAGAGGACATAGAGGAAGCCAAAAGTATAAATGGGTTCATGGAGTACAGGTTCATCAGTGACCATTAAAGATGATGACCCAAATGCAGCATCTGGCTAAAAAATCCCTGAATTTTTCTGTGCGCTAAGGAGGAAAAATAGCTCAGTAGGGTAAGACTCTGATACTTATTATATGAATCTTCAGCATAAACTACTAAGGCTGTTTTACTGATTTGTATCACTGAAATGTGTGGTCCATCTATTGTATTTTTCTTTATCCTAGAAGTAATTTGGTTTTGTGATGTATATTGTGGATAATTATGTGATAATTCAACTCTATGGAAGCTTCAAGTCCACATCTTTTTTCTATTCTGAAATATGTGTTGAATTCCTAAATAAAACTTTGGCCAGCTATTTCACTGCAGGCAGCATTTTTGCTTTTCAAATGTTTAGTTCTTTGTAATCTTTGCAGTATTTTTGTTTCAGTGGTATTTAATGGAGGTGACCTCCTTGGATTAATTATGGATTGATAAAAATCAGTTTTGTTTTGAACTATGAATACGCTTGGTAAATAAATACTGAGAAACATCATACCCTGCCCTTCTTCTCTCACCTGTAGTTGTTGATCTCAGCTACCTCTCCTTCATCTTCCTTCCTCCTCCTCACATACCTGCTTCCTTCATATTCTGTTCATTTTAACCTCTGGTGTTGACCATAAGTTGAAGGACTGAGATACAGCTAGGATAAGGACTGGAAGAATGGGTTGGAAGCTGAAATGGACCACAGTGGTGAAAAACTGAGAGCCAATGTTATCAATAAAATAATTGTTGAATCTTGTCAAAGCTCAGTATGTCTTGAAGAAGCTGAAATTGGCTGAGTTCACAGTTATTAATTTCCCCAGTAATTCAAACCCTAATATTTTGTAGTAATACTGGATTTTGGGTCATTCATTTTCCTTGGGGTTCCTTTTGTTCTGTCATGCGCTATATTCATTTTGTGTACAGACAATATTGGTTGGATATAATGTTTTGAGTTCTATCATTCAAGTAGAATAGTGAAATGAGGCAGCTTCTAAAATGTAAAAAAAAAAAAAAAAAAAGTCAAATTGTCTCCAGTTTTAGTTTTGGTTTTGGAGTTTTGTTTTTTGTTGTTTGTTTTTTGAAGTCTAAGGTGCCAACCGGAAAGTGAGAGTCAATTTCTGACTGACTGGATGCGGAAAGAAACTTCCTATCTGAAGTCTAGGTGGTAACTGCCCATTTTGAGACCTGACCTCCCTCCAGTTTGTCTGTGCTTTGCCAGTGCTAGATAAAGAGAGTAGACTAGTCTGACTATTTTTCTGATCATATCATGAAAAGGAGAAATGTGTTGGAGAGTGCATGACCCAGTTGCTCAGAGAAGTGTTTGAAACTGAGATCATAAAGCACAGTGAAATAAACATGAAGGCTAACATCTATGTTCTTCCTGAATCTAAAGGTTTGTGGGGAAGAACTGTATTTCAGCATATGAGGGAGGTAGCCTGAATATGATGGATGGTGAGGGAGGTCTAATACTTTTATGGCTGCCGAGAAGATGCAGATTAAGATAAGACTCACTTATAAGAAGCATTTTTTTTAGAAGTAGAAAAATAGCAATCTCTTACTCATCCAACTTCAGGTCTAAATGTGCTTTCCATCCCTCCCCATTCCCCCGTATGATGAGAACAACTTCAGTTGTTCAATTTGCAAAAAGAAGAGCAGAGACTTGTTTTAAAATGTCTTAAAAGATTGTCAGTAGTCTTTCTGTAAAGCCCTTTAGAAATGGAGAACACATTTAACCCTAGTAGCCTAAAAGAAATTACTTTAGCTCTTATTATGTTACCGGTATCTATAGCTTTTGCAGACATGCTTTTTTCAGCAAGAATGTATTTATGCATGGCAGAAAGCATTAAGTTTATATGCAAACTCACTTCCAAAAGATTTGTTTTAATAATTGAAATACGTTGATCTTGCACTAATGGATTTTCTTTTGTAATAGGTGTTACTCAGAATGGCAAGTGTTTGAAGTTTCAACAAGTGCATCTTCTGCTGAAAGTGCTCATCTTTTCACTTTTCTTTCTTCACTACCAATGTCCAGGTGTTCTCGCAAGCATAACTATCCAACATCTAGTAAGACACTACTCGTCCGAGGGATGTTCATTACTTTTGGCATGGAGCAGTGCCGGAGAGATGACTATGACACAGACGCGAGTCTTGAGTACAGTGATGAGGAGACCTACCAGCAGTTCCTGGAGTTCTACGAGGACGTGCTCCCCGAGTTTCAGAATGTGGGGAAGGTTGTTCAATTCAAGGTATGCATCTGAGTGTAATAGCTTGTTAAATATGTAACATATACCATGTAAGTTGTGTTTTACTAGCCTTAACAGGAATTCTGTCCAGCATGCCCTAGCTAAATCCCATGTACATTAGAGAACTATGCAGTGTCCTTACAGCAAACTGTGCATCTCTCATGTCATCTGTAAACTTGTCACTGCTGTTACAGAGCATTGTCTTACTCTGGGTGAATCTTCTCTCCCGTTCCCCTGAACTGTTGTAAAAGCTTGTGCTTTTGTATTGCAAGTTATTCATACTGCTCAACAGTCCACTTACCTCACAGTCCCTTCTTAGCCCGTGATAAGCCCAAAGGGTCAACTAAGACTGTTAGACAATATAAATATATTGGGCTATTGTATTTGTGCCTAAGGAATGAAATAGTGGGGGTATGAAATGTATTTGGAGTATACACCCAAACAATGTCATTTTAGGACTGGTTGGATAAAATAAAATCAAATGACAATGAACTGAAAGGTAGTAGATATTTCAGTAGGAGTGTCTATTTCAGTAGGGTTTAACCCCAGCCAGCAACTAAGCCCCACCCAGCCGCTCACTCACTCCCCCCCGGTGGAAAGGGGGAGAGAATCGGAAAGGTAAAAAGTGAGAAAACTCGTGGGTTGAGATAAAGACAGTTTAATAGGTAAAGCAAAAGCCGCGCACACAAGCAAAGCAGAACAAGGAATTCATTCCCTACTTCCCAGCGGCAGGCAGGTGTTCAGCCATCTTCAGGAAAGCAGGGCTCCGTCACACATAATGGTTACTTGAGAAGACAAAACGCTGTAACTCCGAAATGTCCCCCCCGTTTCTTCTTCTTCCCCCAGCTTTATATGCTGAGCATGATGTCATATGGTATGGAATATCCCTTTGGTCAGTTGGGGTCAGCTGTCCCGGCTGTGTCCCCTCCCAATTGCTTGTGCACCCCCAGCCTACTCCCTGGTGGGGTGGGGTGAGGAGCAGCAAAGGCCTTGACTCTGTGTAAGCACTGCTCAGCAGTGACTAAAACATCCCTGTGTTATCAGCACTGTTTCCAGCACAAATCCAAAACATAGCCCCATACTAGCTACTATGAAGAAAATTAACTCTACCCCAGCCAAAACCAGCACAGTTATAAAAAGGTAAGTTACATAAATGGTGTTGAGATTTGTCATCCATCCTTAGTTTTTGTGTTTCGTTTGCTGAATGTTCTTTCCTGAATTTTTCACATTTATTTTATGATTTCTTATGGGGGAAAAAGAGGGACCTGTAAATGGAGACCTCGGAGATGAATGATGTGTCTTAACAGTCCCACATTGCCCCAAAATGTGCAGCGTGGATGGTGAAATCTCTTTGTAGCAGAACCTCTTGCAGCATCCCTTTCTGTTTGCCATTCCTGAGTGTTTTCCTGCAGTCACCAGGAGGCACGCAGTGCCTTTTCTCCTTTTGTTTCCATCTACTGACAGCTGCCTCAGAACTGAGATTGTATAAGCATTTCAAGCAAGAGGAAAGCAGAAAAAGGAATTTTCAATAGTTGTATAATGAGCCTTATCGGTAAGAAACCTTCACTTGCTTGGAGGAGTACCCCCTCCATATTTTGACTCATGGGATATTAGCAAGCTGTGCTCCATCCTAGAAGACAGGATGTAGATTCCCAATGGAGCGTGGGTTGAAATGCTGTCTTACCATCAAACTCAGATCCTCGACTTTGTATCGTTGTTGTATGCAGCTGTGCTAAGTTGCACATACTTGGGTCTCTATGCCTAATAATGGGATAAGAGCTTTTAGTGTGGCATTTCTGAGCTTCTGAAGTAATTGTGCAACTGTAATATGATTCTCATGGGGATTTTCATTATATTAGAGATGCTTAGAAATTACGTGTTGGCAGCAGGGATCTTAGCTGTGATTTAGTTGAGTCTCTACTACCACTGAGAATCAGATTATACACACCCCTTTCCAGTGGTGTAGCCCAAGGTTTTAGTCTTGCTCTTCTTTCTAGGAAGCTACTCCAGAATCTGGCAGATCCTTACAAAACACACTTCTTTTCCCACCCAAAAGTGTCCATGGCGAAATCATTCTTGCTTGTTCTTGTTGTGACGTCGTTTATCTCACATAGTTTGACTGCTTATTCTGTAATATTTAATGATACAACTGCTTGTTGTTGTGTCTGAAGCCCCCGCCTAACCCAGTGCACAGAGAGGTATTCTCTGAGGGTCAGTCAGGGTTCAGTGATGAAAAGAGCCACTTGCCTCATTTGGTGCGGAGATTTCGGAAGAGGCCTGGGGACAAAAGAGGCTGAGCTCACAGTTCTGCCCTGGAGAATTGGGTTCTAGCCTGCTTGGGCCTGCCTGTTTCAGAATCCTTTGTAACTAGCAACAAGCTTTTGGCAAGTTAAATTGTGTATTTTTGAGAATTTTAGATATACTTTGAATGCTAAATTATTATGAAGAAAGGTGTTTCAGAACTGTACAGTGAAAGCTAGTGACTTCAGCTTCTCTAACTCATCTCACAGGGATGCTGTGAAACAAAATTGCTCTAAAGATTCTCTTACCATAATGAATCCCACATTTCCACATGAGGATACTACTAATTGTTTTCAGAGCAAGATTTGGCTGTTGCACATTAGGGTTGGCCGAGACAAATGTGAGACAATTGAGTACAAGCTGTCTTGCAGACCAAGTGAAGCAGAGGTCCCAGTGTTAATCAAAGCATAATGCTGGAAACAGTCAAACATACGCCAGAAGGGCTTTTTTTTTTTTTCCTTCAAAACCTTTTATTTGCCTAAAACTAAGTGTTCAGAAGAAAATCATACGTAAGTTCATATTGATGAGCTGTCATAAATTGGAACAGCTGCCGTCTCAACATGCGTGAGCTGCTGTATAGCATAAACCTTCCGTTGCACTAACTTGATGTTTCCATCCCCTTAGGTCAGTTGCAACTATGAGCCTCACCTGCGAGGAAATGTGTATGTCCAGTATCAGTCGTAAGTACTCGCAATCTTACTAAGTTTTAGAACTGTGAACACTATTTGTATAATCCAAGCGATTCACTCTCATACTGTAATGGGAGCTTAAAATTGGTAAATAACATCTTAAATGATTGTATGATGATAATGCTATGTGTGATTTTTACTTTTTAAAGGGAGAAGGACTGTCAGGCAGCTCTTGCTCTATTCAGTGGACGATGGTATGCAGGCCGACAGCTTCATTGTGAATTTTGTCCTGTGACAAGGTGGAAAACTGCTATATGTGGTGAGTCACATAAACACTTGGAAAAAAGAATGTGTTTTACTGAAAGAGTACTTATGGAAGTGAAAAAGAGGGAATTAGCCTGCAGCTTTCAGATCTGCCTAATGTTGCAGTTCATTCTGTTTGGAAGACAACTATGCTAACTTGCTTGTGTAGATCTAGGAAAGAAAGGGAATATTCATACCATGTCACCTAAGTGTCTGAATCATTCTAGTGGATTTAGCTTGGACTGGAAAAGAAAGTTTGGATCCTAGCTTTGGAAATAATAATCTTAAGGTGGAACTACAGGAAGTAGTAATTTATCTCTTTAAAAAGCAACAGCAGTTTCTGAACCATCAGCAGTTCTTAGCAGTAGCTATCACGTTTGACTTATCTATATTTACATTCTTAGATTAAGGTAGTAAAATTATTTATGAAAATCGTTTTAAGCTAAAACCTTCATAGCTGTTAAAAAGTTAATTCCAAGAAAAGTACATATTGAAAAATAATCTTGCGTGAATTAAATTGATAGGTGGTCAGGTGCATGTTTTTCTGTTTGAAGAAGCAAAATTCAGTTTAAGAAGTTTCTTTCCAGTAAGTACAGAATGAAGAAAGAGATTTAACAGGTCTGGTTCATAAAAAAGCAAACCCTAATCTGTTGCAGGCTTATTTGAAAGGCAGAAGTGTCCAAGAGGGAAACACTGCAACTTTCTTCATGTATTCAAAAATCCAAACAATGAGTTTTGGGAGGCCAATAGAGACATACGTATTTCTCCTGAACGGACTAATCAGTTGTCTAAAAACTCTGAAAGGAGAAACAGAACGAGCCATCGTGATGACTATTACAGCCGGTCAAGGAGAAGGGGCAGCCCAAGCCCAGATCATTCTTACCGGAGAAATGGAGAATCTGAGAGAAAAAAGAATCGCCGCAAAAACAAGAGAAGGCGCCGCTCTGGCAGGTCAAGAAGTCGAGAAAGGAGGAGGTCTCACAGCAGGGGGAGAAAGAGGAGAGGCCGCAGTCGCAGCAGAAGTCATAGTCGAACACGCAGTAGGAGCAGAAGTCGGAGTTCCTCTCGATCCAGGAGCAGGGGTAAAAAGAGATCGAGCAGCAGAGGAAAAAACAGTGAAACTCCCAAAACAAAGTGAGAATTACTTTTAGAAGTTGCTAATTGATCAAACATAGAGCTGACAAATCTTTCAAATAGGGCACCAGATATATTTGAGTTTCAAATAAAGTGTTCTTGCACATTAAAATGTTTCTTCCTAATAAAGGAACCTAGTTTATTGTGTGCTAAGCTTCAGAAAATTAAAAGGTTTAAGTCCTATATAAGGTGTGAATGTCAAGTACTCTAGCTACTCTGTCCCTCTGAACTGCTGCAACATCTGGATGCATACTGAGTACAAATAGAAAGAGAAGTAAAGCTTATTTGGTATATGCTTATTTCTGTGTTATGTGTGTGTTAAGTGTTTACTGTCCCTATAAGGAGTTAGTACAGAACAGCCAGTGTGCTGTAAATTCACACCACAGCATACTGCAAATTGAAGTCTCTGTAGAAGACTCCCATTTATATTTTCCGTCTGCTTATGGGAAATCTCTTTCTAGACAAAGTAAATATAATCATGTTATGAGTTGGAGAAAAGGGATCTAAAAGACATCGCTGTTTGACTGTATAATACTTGCCCAGTAGGAGCTTTGTGGTCACAAGTGTTGGATTTTTCTCTCTCCCCTGACTGAGCTGCTGAGCTAATTGCCTGTAGGGATTGCAGTAGACTAAAACCAAGTAGGAAGTGCACAAAAAAACAATCAATTTATTCAGTACCTTAATCCTCAAGTAAGAGTGGAGACCATGCACTTGTAATCCTTGAGTGAGGATAGAAAATACTTTGCATACCTCTTGGTTGCATACCATTTGTAGTTGAAAACAACCTGCCTAACCTGTGATGGAGTGGTCGAAAAGTGTACATCTGGTAACTGAAGATGCATATATGTAGTTGTGAAGGCTCAAAATGGTTGCAGAGTGGCTAAAGAAACTGAAGGTTTTATATTCGAAACAGTACTTTAGGTTTTTTGGAGACGAGGACTTGACTTAAAGCCTTTTTAGGCTTATTTTACAAACAGTTTAAGGCACCCTACTGCCTAGCTTCCCTACGGTCAAGGCGGAGAGTAGGGTACATAAAAATGAAGTTATCAGGACAAAACCTTTTTGAAATGACAGCTACATTAGCAAAGCACCTGCAATTAGATGAATCCTTACAAATATTTCTTCACTTTTAAATGAAAGGTTTGTGCTGTTAGATGGACTGTACTTCACGCTGCTTAATTTCAGGTATTTAACTTAGGCACTTAGGCGTCCTTAGACGCTTGGAGAGAACAGTGTGTGGCACTGAAGGTGCAGGTGCCCTGAACGGTTTGCAGAGATACCTCCCTCTTTAGCCTCTCCAAAGAACTTGGGCTCCTGCCGTTAGAGTACAGTTCAGACCACCTAAGTTAGAAGCCTAAAGTAGACATGAAGTGCTCCCAAATAGATACTCGTTACGACTCCAACAATACAACGTAAGTCCCGTAGAAGATCTGGATATCCAAACTTGACGATAGCATTCCTCACAGCAAGAACATTTTCCCCCCAGGACAGTTAAGAGTGAATGAACATTGCTTCTGGATATAATATATATATTTTTGCTTTTCTAAATGCATACTGCACCTAGCATGCTGATTATACATTTTCCTTCTTTCATGTGTAACTGTTGTCCAATATGGAGTAAAACAACAAAAGTGCTATATATTGATGTTCAGTTCCGACTTTCACTATATATTGTCATAACTGTAGGCAAAATCGTAGCTTAGTTAATTTGATTAAATGTTTTAGTTATTAACAGATGTAGGAATTGTAATTTAATAGCATAGCTTTTGAAATAATAACTTTGTTTGAAAGGCATATTTCCAAGGATAGACAGCACTAAGTTTTAAATTATGTTTGAGAAATTTGTGACCACCAGTTTCTCATAATGTATCTTTTTCTGACTAGACCTTACAGACAGATTTTCCCCTAGGTTTCTATTTTTTCATAGACGCTCACTTGTCTAGTTGGGTCACTTGTGCAGAATGTGGCAAACTCTGGTTCAGTTCCCTGGAGCAGGACTGAACTGGCACTTCCTGCTCGCCGAGACGCCCCGCCAGCAGGCCAACGACCTCTTCCTTTCTCTGGTGCTGCCTTGGCGTCCCATGGCTCACGCAGGCCGGCTGGCCTGCTGCCTAAGGGGTGGAATTGCTGACGTATGCCAGCTGTAGGACGTTGTACATCCTGTGTCATACGGCAGGCTATCGCTGAGCATTACCTGAGTGAAATCAATTGCCGAGCTCAAACAGAAGTGGTGGAATGGGCAGTGGGAACCTGTCACCAGTCGGGTGAAATAAGCAAAGCAGGCCTCTGTAGGATTAGAAACCAAGTGCCAACTCAGACCCATGTGAGAATTCCACAGGTAATTAGGCTCCTTGTCCCCACAGTTTTGTAATGGGATCTGGGAAGCTGAGCTGCTGTATTTTTTCTAAAAAAAAAAAGTTCTTAAAAAAAAAAGACTTGCTCAGAGATGCATGTAAAAATTTAAATACACTTTATTTCTGCTAGTATAATGGCTGAAGCTTCAGCTTTTTTCCTTGAGGTCTGGACCCAAACTTACTGGCTATACCTGTGCAGTGTAGGACTGGTAGCTGTAATTATCATTCACTTTCACATGCAGTCTGTTTATTACACAGAAATTGAGTGCTGTAGATCTGACATTTAGTTTGCATTTGTTAGCATGAAACCTGGAATTCAACCAGTTTTCTAACTTCAGAGTTCATATATTTTGGTATTGTTTCCCTACTTCATTATCTTAAGTAGTGTTATATGCATGGTTTTGTGTTTCCTTATTAGCCGAGTGAGCTATTTATTCTGAAGAGACAAAGAGACTAGAAGTTCTTAAATGTTAAGCTTAATTCTTTTTTTTTCCAAAGGGGAGAAGCCCCAGAAGAACACAGAAAGGATTTAAATTTGCAAGGAATAGCTTGTTCTCGCTGCGTGTTATTCTGCGTATTCCACATAAAAGGACCTTATAAAGTGAATTAATATTGGCCAACTTTTGTTTTGTTTTGTTTTTAATGACTGCTTAAAAGCAGTGGCTTTCAAAATTCTTTTTTTCTGTTGTGAATTCTGCAAGGATCACTGAGGTTCTTTAGAGCAATTATGAAAGCAGGCAGTTGGGGCGGCAGCGGGGCCCCCCACAAGGCCGCTCATGTCACAGTCGGGCTGGAGAGCAGGCGCTGCGCCTGCCCTTCTCCTGCGGGAGGAAGAACGCAGCCGAGCCGGGCAGCGAGATTGCATTTTTCCAGTGGCAGAAGGGGAATAACAACAGCCTGGTGGGACCTCCTGTAAGCACAGGCAGTAGGTATCACTGCCCAGCAGCACGTAGGCAGCTGGGAACCAGGCTGGCCCCCTCGCAGCAGCGTGCCCTTGAGTGCTGGCTGGCGGCTGCTTCTGTGCGATTGCGCTTTCTGCCTGTCCGCGGAGCAGGCAACCACCATCACGGGGGGTGAGAAGGGGTAGGGAGGCTTTCGTTTGTTATGGAGGGGAACAAACACACGCGAAAAGGCCTTTCCTCTCTGGCCCTTCCCTTGCTTATAGGGCAGGTGGTCTGAAATGCGTCCTCAGGAACTTCCCAGCTTTATGTCCTTTGATGACAGCATGTCTTTCTCAGATTCGGTGTATCAGAAACTGCCCTGAAGTTTACCAGTGACATTCCTGTGCGCTAAGTAACATTTTTTTCAAAAGAAATGCAAGAGCCTGCTTAAAGATGCTATTGCGTCCTGTACTGGATCAGCACTTCTTACAAAACAGGAAAGTCTATGCTAGTTAATAACTTAAAAGCTTAATTTACTTTCTTACATCATCTAAAGAGTGCAGCAGATTTTGCTTTCAGGTTCATTGTAATTAAAAGAAACCCCTATTATTCCACATATCCTTCTATTCAGCACTGGTGTATCAGCTGAATTCAGTATCTATCTCTGATTTAAAAAAAGAGAGATGACACTGGCAAGTTACACTGCAGTGAACTATGAGACCAATTACAAAGCAAGCCATACAAGCATAACCCATGGCACGCCGTAACTTAACAAAGGCAGCCACAGGGTGACCGTCGTCATGGCGTGAACTCAAAAGGCACAGCAGATGTTTCGGAAGGCCTCTTCAAGTTAAAGACTAAGATTCAGTGATGAAGTTGAAGACACTGAAGCCAACAATCACTTGCCTAAACAATCCAGAAATTCTAATTGATTCTTTCGATTCCCCCCGCCCCTTCCCCATAAGATACGAAATTTAAATGCCCTAAGATGGTAAGTTTTCCCCATGCTTTTGCTGGTAACATCGACCAGTTCAGTTCTTTTAGAAAGCTGAGGAACAGGTTCATCTGAGAAATTTTTGGTTGAGACTAGGATTGTGAACGTTGCATTGACTTGCTCATAATTCCACTTAAGGAACTGAATACTGAGTTTGTATTATCCAGAACCCTTTCTCAATCAACATGTGGTTTGTTTTAATTTTCAAATGAAGTGGCACTAACGCATCAATTTAACATCCACTTTAATAAATTTCATGTTTAATGTGGTAAGCCTTCCAAAAACTTGCTAATTTATTGCTTTCTGTACAATTTAAATGGATGTAAATAACTAATCTTGGACACAGTATACTCATATTTTTTAATAAAGTGCTCAAGAACAGGTTAAGCACTGTAATAAAATTTCCCTTTTTTTTAAGCTAGCACTGAGTAGCCTCTTCTTTCCTCTGCAAAAACCAGAACTAATTACATATAAACACAAAGCAATGGTGTAAAAATGGACATTTATTACAACTAAACCAATGTGACAGACAGAGGTCAAACAGTTTATTTGTCACAATCACAACAAAGCTTAATCCAGCCAAGCACATACAAGTGACAGTGTAAACTTTAAAAACATGTTTAATACATAGAAAATTGCTTCGGGTTTGACTTAAATTAAGGTAATTTTACCGCTTCCATCTCCCACGCAGGGTCATTCTGCTACCACTCTAACCTCATCTATCCCAACGCATCATGCACTGGGGAAATGGCACACCACTGCTTTCGCATGCCCTAGGTCACGAACAGTCTGTAGCCATGGGATATGTTTGAATCCCAGAAAGGGCCTAAGTAGACAAATGCTAACACAGGCTCCACCCTGGTGTGCAGACCCACCCCTGCCCCGGGGGGCCCTTCTGCTGCCACAGGCATTTATACCAGGATCTGGAACAGGGGACTCGCGAGTGGCAACGCTGAGCCTTTCCTGGCGGGTTAAATTTAACCCAGATCGCATCACGCCCACAGCCCAGCTCTCCAGACAGCTGTGTAAATGCTTC